GAAGAGCCTCCGAAAGAAGAGCCTCCGAAAGAAGAGCCTCCGAAAGAAGAGCCTCCGAAAGAAGAGCCTCCGAAAGAGCCTCCGAAAGATGATAAAAATGAACCAACACCAACAAAAGATCCAAAAGATGAACCAAAATCAACAGACGAACCAAAAAAAAATGAGCAAAAAGATAATCCAAAACCAACAGACGAACCAAAAAATCCAAAATCAGACGAACCAAAAAAAAATGAGCCAAAAGATAATCCAAAATCAACAACTGAACCAAAAAATCCAGAATCAACAAATGATCCAAAAAAAAATGATCCAAAATCACCAGAACAAAATGATCCAGAATCAACACCTGAACCAAGTAATCCAGAATCAACACCTGAACAAGATAATGAACCATCAAACACTGCAGACCCATCAAACACTGCAGATTCATCAAACACTGCAGCAGCATTTAATTCTAACTCCGATCCGTCGGCCGCAGCTTCTACCTCCTCTGGTGCTCCTACGATGGTTAAATTTTTATGGGTACAATCATGTTTAATCGCCCCATTAACAATTTGGTACCTATTCTCTGCGAAGTTTTAGGTAAAATTTTGCATCTAGGTTAATTGGGAAAAAAAAAATTTAAAATTTGGCTAATTAAGTCAGTATTTATGACATTAAATAAGAATTTTTTTTTATACGAAATGGATATTAACAACTTTCTTGACCAAGGTTAATTTAATGAATCATGATATTTCAAATTAAATAAAGTTAGGAGATAGCATTTAATAGTAGCATTGCTATAGAGAATATAAATTTAGTGTATATTTATCATTTTTGAGTTTATTTAGAAAAATTTATTCGAAATGTATAATAACTTTCTTGATCAAAGCTGATTTAAATAAAGTTTGCAACTTATTGGATATAGCATTTAATAGTAGCATTGCTATATAACTTAGAATTTAAATTTTGTGTGTATCAATTTCGAGTTTATTTTGTAAAAAAATGGTAGTTAAACGATATCAAGGAGAAAAAAGAGTACTTGTTATTCTGTATTATACTTGCAATCTAAAACTTTACATTATGGCAGCTACAGCTGTTTTCATAAATTCTGAAACAAATTAAAAAGGTGTTCACGAAATATATTCTATTTTGTCTTGTAATCACTTAACACTCTAAATAGGGTTGTTAGTGGGTCTGCTGGGTTGATCCAGTCTTCAATCTACACCACTAAATTAGACTTGCTCTAAATTCTATTCCACGTTGCAGGCTGTTCCAAATTT